GTTCAGGTATTGATTGAGCTTGTATACCCTAGAAGAGGAGGGAAAAAAGATCTATGTATGCGTGCATGAAAATGATAGTATATTAATATTTAAATACATTTCTTTTTAAAAGACTTTCTAATTATGAAAGCAGGACGTATTTGTTACAATATACCCGAAACATACAGAAAGTACAAAGAAAAAAATCACCTTCAGTAAGACCTGCTGTTTTTTAGTACTGAATTTGCATTTTCCTTTGCGCATACGTGGCTGTTTACATTAAATTAGAATTATAAAATATGTTTAATTTTATTGTTTGTGTATTTAATTTATTTAAAAATATATAGTTAGGGGCTGGAGAGATGGCTCAGCGGTTAAGAGCACTGACTGCTCTTGCAGAGGACCCAGGTTCGATTCCCAGCACCACATGACAGCTACGAACTGTCCTTAACTCCAGTTCCAGGGGAATCAGAAGCTGCATAAAATAAAAACAATAAAATATTTAAAAAAAATATATATATAGTTATTTCTGTGAGGAGGTGAGAAGAGGTAAGAGGGCAGCTTGCAGGAGTTCGTTCTCTCCTGCCATGTGGGTCTCAGGGATTGAACCTGGATCACTAGACTGGCAGCAAGTACCTTTACATGTTGAGCCATCTTGCTGACCCATTTATTTTTTTAAAATCAATTTTCAATTTTTATTTTTATTATTTTTTCATTTGTTTTGATCTAGGATCTCCCTGTTGCCTTAGCTGGCCTGGAACTCACCATGTAGATTAGGCTGGCCTCGATCTCAAAGAGATCCACCTGCCTCTGCCTCCTGAGTGCTGGGATTAAAGCCATGCACTACCACACCTGGATCTTTAATCGATTTTTAAAATATTTTATTTATTTTTTTATTTTATTTTATGTGTACGAGTGTATTGCCTGCATATATGTAAGTGTACCAGTGTTGTGCAATGCCCCTGGAGGTCAGAAGAGGGCATCAGATTTCCCTGTAACTGGAATTATAGATGGTTGTTAGCTGCAATGTAGGTGCTGGGAATTGAACCTGGATCCTCTGCAGGAGCAGCCATTGCTCTTAACCTCTGAGCCATCTCTCCAGCCCCTCTTTAATTTAAAAAAAATATTTTTTTTTTGGTCTTTTTGAGACAGCCTGTAGAGCAGGCTGGCCTTGAACTCACAGAGATCCACCTGCCTCTGCCTCCCAAGTGCTGGGATTAAAGGCGTGTGCTACCTTGCCTGGCTCAAAATTTTAAAGTTAACATACAAAGTAAAGGGTTTTACTATGGCATCATTTCATATATATAATGCCTTTTTATTTATTAATTCATTACTACTTATTGTTTTGAAAGCATTAATGGTTGTATAATAATTTCAGACTAGTCTGCTACCTAGTTTGTTAGACCATTCTTGTGTTTTTGAATCAGTTTTCCTTGTTTCCGTGTTGAAAGAATCAGTAGCTGGTTGTAGTATATGCATATAATCCCAGCATTTGGATGCTGAGGCAGGAGGATTGCACATTGAGGCCAACCTAGGCTATATATAGTAAGCTCCTGACTGTCCCTTCCCTACCTGTAAAATAGAAACTATTGGGTAGTGGGTGGGGATAGGATTAAAGCTGAGGAAAGGGATTCTCTTATAACACTAGATTTATTTGTTTAACTTAATTGTTGAGCTGTTTAGTGAGTACCTGTGTGTCTGGCCCTCTGTTAAACTCTGAGATGCAGGCATGAATCCTCCACTTTGGAAAAGATGAGATACGACAACTAAGAACCCAAGTTAAAGTCAAAGTGGAGCTAGGGATACAGAAGATAGGAAGAATTCCCTTGAAATGTCTGAGTTGGAAAGCTGGTATTTTTGCTGAGTATTGGGGCCATGTGAATGACTAGGAGACAGACATGTCTGATTTTCATGGAACTCTTTTGGGATACTAGAACAGATAGTAATGTCATTTATTAACATAGGGATCACAGAGCAGATTTACTTTGAATTTTGTTTTTATCATAGTGAATCTGAGGTGCCACTGAGCCACTAGAAAGGAATGCCTGTTGGGTAGATGGACAGATGATGTGAAGAAGAGAGATCTGCTTTGGATAATTGCTATCTGTGTTGTGGTATCAGCACAGACCAGAGAACATACAATGGAGAAGAAGGCCAAAGATAGAATCCCAAAGAATAGGAGAGAATGTGGAGAAGCCTGTGAAAGAGACAGGACCACACTGAAAGGAGGCTGGTGTTGTGGTTGCAGTGAGAGAAGAAGCAAGGGGTGGAAAACAGTGTCTGTATCTGTCAGAGGTCAGTGAGGAGAACCATTGTCAAGAGTTCATTGGGCTTGGCAGTTACAAGGTCATGGGCAAGAGGGGATCAAGAGATGATGGAGACAGATTGCTGAATGGCTGGTCAGGAAGCTGGGTGTAATGGCACATGCCTATAATCACAGTGCTTGGGAGGCAGAGACTAGAGTATTGCCCACAAGTTCAAGGGCTAGCCTGATCTACATAGTGAATTCTGGACCATTGAGGGTTATATAGCAATACCCTCTCTACCAACCAAACAAACCAGCAACTAGTGAGGAAGTGATGTGTGGTAGGTAGAGATGGAAGGGAGAGGTTATGCTATGGAAGGAGACTTTGCTGTAATAGAGACAGGTTTAACACCAACTGAAAGAAAGATTGATGCTTCTGGAGAAAGAGTTAAAGATAAAGCTAAGGTCCTGGGGAGGAGGTGAAAGGAATAGGTTTGGAGCATAGATGGAGGGTTTAGACTTAAGTATTGGGGAGGTACTAAGGAAGCATGGGGTTGGTAGGAGTAGTTGATGGTATGATGGGAGTTTGTGCTGGTCAACTCTGCCCTGATGTGGTAAAGTACCAGAAAAAAACAGCTTAAACGTAGGAAAATACCATTTGGCTCCTGATCTGTGGCAGGCAGAACATCATTGGCAGGCAAAGCTGCTCTCCTCCAGGTATCCAGGCAGGGGTGGGGATGGGTGGTCAAAGGCATGTCCCCAGAGACCTCCAGCTAGGCATCTTCTGTTTCTATTACCTCCCAGTAGTGATTGTTTACTTGTTACAAATTATGGAAATGATTTGTATTTATTTTCCCCTATAACTACTGCTGTGAGGATGGATATGTCTCACTTTGCTTATCATTGCAGTGTCTGGCATCTAGTGAGCACTGGTAAATATTTGTTTATTTTTTCTCTTGAGACAGGGTCTTACTGTGCAGCTAAGGTTGGCCTTCAATTCACCATCCTCCTACCTCGTTTTCACTAGTGCTAGAATTATAGGTGTGTACACCATCATGCCTGGCTCTATTTAATGAATTTAATGAGTCAAAAACAGTGATTCTCAACCTTTTTATCTGTCTCAGTATGCTGATGGGATTTGACTTATTTCGATCTGATCCATTAGGAACTGCTGTGACCCTCACCTGAAGGATATTGGGTGTCCGGTAGTATAGGCTTGAGATCATTAAGGTCATAGCCCCAGAGTAAGAAAGCCTGTGCTCACATGCCAACTCTACCTCATAAAATGTATGACCTTGGGCAAAATTTGTAATCTCTTTGTGCCAGTTTCCTTATTTGTAAAGCACAGGCTGGTCATAGTAGCTACCTTAGGGTAGTACCTAGGGTTGTCATGAAGATTATATGAGAAAATTAGTATGAAACTTTTAGAAGAGACTACAACACATAAAATGTATTATTATTGGAGCTGGAGAGTGGTTAAGAGCGCTTACCATGCTGAAGTTATTTAACACTATTTGTGGTTTGAAAAAGTTTCCTAGGTGATATTGATACCTTTCTTTTCTTCAAACTGGGTTTATGGTAAAGGTATAGAGATTCATCAGCATTTGTGTCTGTGTGTCTGTGATTTCAATTTTTTTTAATTTCATTTTTTTT